CTGGGGTCAAAAACATGCACCCGCGGTCTGTGTCTTACAGGTGACATTTGCCCTGATTTGTGTTTGTATCTTGTAGCAAATATTCACACACACATATATGAACAGATGGCAAGATAATATGTTATTTGCTTTGCTTTGGTTTGGCTCTCCAACACTCACTAATTAGGGAGAAGTTGGAATCAATGCCACGATATTCTTTGAGGCCCTTACTGGAGAAAGAGCCTCATCCCACCTGGAGCTGCACAACGAAGGCAGCACAGCTATCTTTTACAACTGGCAGCAGCTTCTCGTGCCACACAGCTTTCCTAACCTGCTATCACAAACAAAGAGTCCGCAATTCTACTTCAACTGCTCCTCTGGTACACACAAACACAATCACACACCTGCTGCCACCGCTCTCACGTCATACACTGTTTGTCCCTGTGTCAGCCCATCATACTGTGTCTGTCAACCAGTACTCAAGCCACCTTTCTGCTTTCCATTTCGCTTCCCCTCCAATCCAAGGTGTGATCCTTCCAGGTGACACCCAGCAGGTGGAGTTCATATTTAAGTCAAAGAAGCCAGGCATCAAAACTGAACTGTGGCAGCTCAACACCCACCCTGTGCTGCTGCAAGGAGCCTCCATGCAGGTCACATTGAGGGGCGTGGCTCTGTACCAGGACAAAACTGCAGACCAGAGGCTCTTCTTAGAGGTGGTGTGCAATTAAACTGTGTGTCCGGTGTTCAAGGTTTTTATAAACAGAAACCCATATGTGATTTTGTCTGTTCTGTGTGCACAAGCAGACGAAGCTGGAAAAGATAGTGATGGTAGAACTGTGCAGGTCGATTGTGTATGAGGTGCTGCAGGGGGTCCACACCCCGGAGAGACCCAGCTCACCTGCAGAACTCTATATCACTGAAGAGACAGAGTTTTTAACCAAAAACCCCAAGGTAACTCTTTAAAGTTGAAAGCAAATTTGTAAGTTGTGGTTATTTTTACATCATACATTTTGGTCAGTCCACGTATTACCAATATTTCCATTTGTTTAATTCAACCTGAATAGATCATAACTGCTATATATTGCTAATATCATTGTTGACTCTGCACTGTACAAAAGAGGATATGTTGCCATGGCAGTGCAATAGGAACCTGACTTTAACTAGGTTGATTGGGGGGCTGATTAGATTGGCCTAGTGAATATAGAGCAGGTCTCCTCAGCTATAATGACAATAGCTGTAGACATGGGAGAGAATGATTACAAATAGCACTGGTAAAACCAAACATTAAGAGTGTAATATTACCTCTAATTATAGGTCATCAAACCTGTAATTGGGATTTATAGAGGACTTTTCACATCTGTCATTATTAAATATTAGGATGATTACAGCCCATTTGGCTTTCACATAGCCACATTTTATCACCACAGAGGGTGGCACCCATGGTTCCTCTCTTCCCTTGAGGAGTGAATGAAAATGGGGACATGCATCCCAGTTGATAGAGGAGATAACTACCAGGGGATGATTATCATCCTGTAGTGTGACAGTCATTTTTGTCCATGGGAGTCTTGTCATTATGTGTTTATACTTTCTATTACTTACCCTCTTTTAGCTGCAGTACCTTGATCAGCCAGTGGAGGACCTAAAGAGACTGTGGCAAGAGGTGAATCCAGGATGCTCCTGGGACCTCTCTGTTGATACACTCCGACAGGTAGAGACATTGTTTAGTAATAATAAAATGTAAATATGTATAAATATAATAAAAAACACAATAACACTCTAACAGTACAGAGTACTTATAGCAGTACATTTAGCAGGTTGACACATTTAGCAGGTTATAGTCTCAAAGGCCTCTTCGAATGCACCCTTTTGTAAAATTTTACACTAAGATGATTCATCAAAGACATTACATATATGTGCATTCATCTGTTCTTCTGTTTAAGGTTGTGCTGTCTCTGCCCGAGCAAGAGTCAGCTCAGGAAAAGAGCCTGGCCCAGCTCAACTCTCTGCTTCTGCAGCTTTCCGGACCCTCTGAACTGAAACACCACCATCTAACAGCAGCAACTATAGGGTGAGACATAAACACATCCACATGCTCCACACTTGCACACTCAGTGTAGTAAACCCTCACGTTACGGTGGTGTGTGGTGCCCCCTGCAGGCAGCAGCTGTGGAGGAAACTGCTGGACAGAATGGATGTTGAGGCCATGTGGCTCAGAAACCTGCTGGGCCTTCCAGAGAGAGACACGTGGATCAATAAAAAGGAGGAATCCGTAATTACGGATGCTGGTGAGACTTTCACTCATACTTTGAAAGGTATTGAATTCATGCTGGTTACAACTGTGTTATTGCATCACAGATACGGCTGACAACAAAGATGAGAAGAGTGAGAAAAAGGGAGGAGCCCCTGCTAAAGAGGAGAAGAGTGGGTCGAGGTCCAGATTAAAAAATGGCAAAAAAGGAGAGTCCAAGTCAGCGACAACTGAAAAGTCAGCGGAGGTGAGGGGAAATAAGGTTGATGCATTTGTGTTTCTGACTCGGCTTCACCTACACAGAGACGGGCTACTATACAATGTTTTGCCACTTAGTGGCAGCAGATTCAAAAGTATTTTACATGAATCAAGTATAATTTTTTGTAACTAATGACACACCATAGCAGCTGACTTTCAGCTGATACAAACATGAGTCAGCGTCACCACTTCAAACAAGCTGTCAGTTCATCATTCATTCATCTGCCATTCAACAAGGCAACTCTTGTTTTCTTGTTACTACTGAAAACCTGGCCACCTACTGCCTGGTTCCCAATAATGCATATACCTACAATATTATGTTCTATAAGTGTGTTTTATGAAAAAGTGTCCCGGTGCGTGTGTGTGTGTGTGTGTGTGTGTGTGTGTGTGTGTGTGTGTGTGTGTGTGTGTGTGTGTGTGTGTGTGTGTGTGTTGATTCTGTTTCCCAGAACATTAGAGGGTTTGGCTCTCCACTGAATCTTGGTTTATTTCATAGGAGGGGGGGTGTATGTGCGTTCCTTGGTGTATGTGTGTGTGCATGTGTGCACTTGATATGCTAACCATCTGATATGCAATGTTAAACCAGCCATTCCACTAAATGTAGGAAGCTAATGCTCTCCATCCAGTGTTGTGTCCCCCAAATAACTTATTATAGTAGCTTAGCAATAGAATATGGTAGTGGCCATTCATGTTTTTTGCAGAGTGACTGGTCGGATGAGATAACAAGCTAAAAATGTCCCTAAGCACCCATTCATTTCAGTAATGATTGTTTTCCTGCTCCCATCCTCATTGTACCCTGCCACTTTTGCCTCGTCCTATTCACAAATCTGAATCTCAGCAACTTGTCGTCGTCAGCACGGGGATAGAGAACCTTAATGAAGACGCGTAACTGTGTTGTTCAAAATACTGGTGGCTCAGTTGGTCGTCACATTAACAACAGTGTGGGTGTGAATCTGGCCTGTTACATCTCTCTTCTAATGGTTCATGTCTCCACTGTCAGCCATAAAAAAAGTTATGTATGTAATGTTACATTTAGAAATAGACTAGAGATGCAGCCTTGTCTGTGTGACTGTATATTTTACTGAGTGATTTTCTCCTCTGTGTGATGGTTGAGTCATAGGTAAGGTACAGCCTTATTAGTCACCGGGTACCATGGTAACTGAGTACAGCGTGAAAATGCGCACCTGCTCTCCAAATTGTGCGCCCAGGGTTGTGAATTAATGCACCTGGACCTGGACCAGTCCATGCCATCTGCGGTACATGCACAAAACACACGGCTATACGTTAAGTCAAACGGTACAGCACATGAAAGATGTTGTTTTTCATGACATAAGACGCATATAACCACTCACCAGCCAACACAGTGTCCAAGTTGGACCCTCCTGCGTCCTCAGTAAAAATGCCATTGTCATTCCTCAGTAATTCACGCTAATGTCTTTCTCTCCTTCGCTCTGTCTAACTCTTGTCTGTCTTCTTCCCGGCCATCCTGCTCACAGGACAGCAGACAGAAGGGGAAAAGAAGGGATGAAGCGGGGAAACGTAGCAGAGACAAGCAAGGGAAGGAATGGTCCTCGCTGACTGACACCCGTCCAGAGAGCGTCAGTGGACAACCTCCTGGTGACCAAAATGTAGAGCTGGAGGTGCTGGACATTTACTCAAGGCTCCTGCACAAAAAGGTCTTTTGATTATCTTTAAATACATCATTTTACTTGTCATGTGAGGAGATCACTACTCCACTGTCCCACATAAATAACCCTGATGATGTCAACTAATGAAAGAAACTATCCAGTTGCATTATGGGAAATGTTGGATGAGTTTTTGGAGCTTGACTCAAACTATAGCTTCTTCCACACAACTATAACTGCTCTGAATCAGTCTGACAACTCACTGGACATGCACACACACTTACTTACACACAGCTGGTGCAACAGGCTGCTGAGCTGCGGCACTATTTACTACACTGTTCATACTGTGTTACTTTATTGCTATTTTTACCCTATTCATTCCATAACATTCAACTAGTGATTAAAAGTCAGGATATGTCGACCTCTGCTGCTTCAATTCTGACCGCTTTTAAAAGAAGACTCCCACCCCCCCTGCATCTAAAGCATCCAGCCCACTTTAAAGGTTTCCCACTGTCCTATATTGATCTTATGAATACATGAATCTTTCTACTTATCTGTCCCGCAGGTTTATGCTCTGATGGAGGACCTGGTGGACAGCCTGTGTGACCTGATGGATGAGCTTAATGAGAGAGAATGAAGGGACACACCAGAGGCAGGCACGCGTACGGAAGCCCAGTGAATACTACTAAATGTAAATGTTAAATGAAACTGATCAAACGATTGTGAAACCAATAAACTTTTTTTGTTCCTCTGGGTAACATTCATCCTGTCTCGCTCACTGAGTCACGCTCATCCTCAGCGGACGGTAGTAAGGACCGCTGACTCCGCAAACGTCGCGCCCCCGTCCGTCCCTCTCTCTCTCTCTCTCTCTCTCTCTCTCTCTCTCTCTACGCTCCCCGTTGATTGCCGTGCCGTGCCGTGCATGCGTGGCCTGCCGGGTGCGTGTGTGGATGAGGGCTGCCTGAGAGAGAGAGGGAGTGAGCGAGCTGCCGTGTGCTGTGCTGTGGCTTATCCTTGTCCTATGCGGATTTCACCGCTGACTGCCCGCCCGAGCGGCTCGCATCAGCCAGGGTAGGCCGGGGGATTCGGACACTGACATTCCCATTCAAGGCTTCCTAAAACACTCGGCTCCTCTCTCACGTTTTCCGGATATAGGTGGAAAGGGGAGGGGGGGGGTGGATAATCGTGGTTGCCCTGGTTAACCGATCCCAGTGGAGGGGATATTACCGGGGACCTGGAGAGGTGGTAGCAGAGAGGATGCTCAGTGGACGCGGCGGGAGATGAGCAATGGGCAAGGTAAAGTGGATGTTGTTGAAATGAGGGGGGGGCATTCCTTCTCTTTAGAAGTGGGTATATTTATACGCTATGACTAACTACCATGCCGACCTATTATATGTAACTCCAGTGGCAGTTGGCCTTGCACAGGAATCCGCGCGACACATGGAAACCGTCACTGGGACTCCACCGCAAGAGACAGATTGTGTGTGTGTGTGGGGGGGGGGGGTGCAATGCATTATGCAGACCCACCATGGGCGCCCTACTCATCAGCATCGCCACCTGAAAATACAGTACACCTGCTACCGCAGCACGCATGCGCAGCCATAAACGTGGACGACGGGGTGACGTAGGCCCCTCTGTGTTTGAGCAATTTGACGCATCAGACCAGAGCTCGTGAGCTCTTGAACCTAACCAGTCTTATTTGGATGTATGAGTCGGTGTGTTGTAGTTGGATGTTTTAAGTTAATCCTCAGCTGTAGCTCATGTGCATTGTGTTATTACAGTAGCATTAACACACACAGACTCTCCCCAGGGTTGAGCATCAGGACCTGAGTTGGAGATTTCATCAGGGGATTGAGCAACTGTGGCTCAGAATGAATTGGAATTATTACACACAGTTGAGTCATGTGAATCTGAGAAGCTGTGTGCCCATATCCCAGTAAAAGCACCGCTGGGTGCTGTCATCGAGTCCCAGGAGTTGTCGGATTATTCACAGAGCAGCTCCACAGTTTGTCCCTGGATGACTTCATCACCACTGTGTCTGTCTGTCTGTGTGCTGCATGAGGCTTCATCAAATACACACATTCAAACTGAGCTGTACAATCACTGAGACATATCTTGCTAATTGAAAGTGTTCAGGATGGATTTTACTTCTGGCACCCATTGTGGTGTTTGTGGATTCAGTTGTAAGATTCATTGCACATTAATTGTTGCACTCAGACTGTTTTAATACCGTAAATGTACTTTTTCTTAAGTATCCTATAGTAAGTATGAGGGCATGTCAAGTAATTTCAGGTTCTCTCTGATGGGATAGATGGGATTCCTAAAGGAAGATGATCATATAGCAATGGTGGAAAGTAACTAAGTATGTTACTTAAGTAGAACTTTGAGATACTTGTACTTGAGTATTTCCATTTTTTGCTACTTCATACTTCTACTCCACTTTTCAGGGGAAAATATTACACTTTTTACTTCATTAACAGTTAGTAACAGTTACTTTTACCTAAAAACATGACATCTTCTAAAATATGATGCGCTGTCACAACATTGAACGTCTATATGAAATATCTTCCTTTGTCACACGGTTGGGTGTATTTAGAAATTGACATCACACACTCTTTCAGCTGGTTCCATCTCCTATAATTCCTTCCACTTGTCCCCTCTGTTTATTTTTAGAGTTGTCATGCACATGGAGAAAGTTCATTTTACTCCCACAATGTGAATTATCCATTGTCTGTTGAAAAGGGACAAAAAGACAATAACACCTCACAGCACCAGCCATTAAAAACCTATGTGTGCGTGTGCGTGTGGGTGTGAGTGTGTGTGTGTGTGTTTGGCGTGTGTCTATGTCCGAACATAAAGCTGAAGATGATTATGCAGAAAGGTGATACTGGTTGAAGTTGCTGAGCTTCACTTTCTTCTTTATGCCCTTCATTGTCTCTCTCCCTCTCTGTCTCTCTTGCACAAACACTCTCAGACCCGACCTCCCCTCAGAGTGTTCTGCCCGTGTCCCTGCTGTGTGCATCTCAGTTGCTCTGTGCTTCTGCTGATGTTTGCGTTTTGGCAGGATGAGGCATCCTGTGACGTGAGCTGACATGGAGCAGCCGTAGATAATGACAATCAAAAGAGAGTCTTTAACAAAGTTAGTAATTGTTAATTATATTTATTATTGTTAGTAGTGATTGTCGCAGTAGCAGTCTGGTAATAATGTTCTGCTATTCAGAGCCACATGCATGGATGGATTACTGAATGGGCTTATCAGGCACAAGCTCAAGGGCCCATAGGTCAGTGGCCCATAAGCACTTGAATGGAGTAGCTTTTTTTCCTTGGGAAGACAAACAAAATACAAATTTTAGCTGCAGCAGCACTTTTTAGTGGTAAACCTGAAAAAGACACCTGAAATATTCATCATACTGTAAGTTAGAAGGAAAAAAATATATACTGCACACTTCATGGAAAATTGATTAATATTCCATTAAGTGTATGTTATTGTATTGTCTATGAATTTGTTATAAAAATTAGTTTAATCACAGTATTCAACCCAAATAGAGAGATTTTTGTATCCTTTTTGGTAGTTATCAAAACCCGACCAATGCAGGATTTTCTTAAGGCCAACACTGATATTGATGTTTGAAAGTTTAAAACATCTGATTAAATCTGTTTTTATTTACATAAAACACAAAATATAAGCACACATTTATGATAAGGCAACTCTAAATTTCATTTATTCTGGGCAACATTTGTACTTAGTGGCAGACATACAGTATTGACAGACATATGATATGAGTTCCTAATATTAGCCCATATATAGTTTGGGACAGTATATTGGCGAGACTGCAGCAAACATGACACTGTGTTTCAGACAGAGTGGTTTGGTCTTGAGAAATAAAACTAAAGTAAAGCTGAACTAAAGCTTGTATTTTAATGCACACAATAGACCTTAACTGAAAGAAATGCATTATAATTCCTATAGTTATTCATACATATTCATTTTTTTGTTCAGAAAATGATCAGAAACACAGGAACAAATTACTAAAATATGTGAAGCTAACAGACAAAACTCTTTTCAAAAAAAGACAAATTAAAAAAAAAGCACATTTCTGCTTCACCCATTCGTTCAAACTGTAACTAAAAGAAGGATGATCATGATCAGATGGGTATTTGATTTGAAACGTAACCCTATCTTTAACAAGCGGCCAACTGAGTGAGCCAATGACTGATGAGAGGTTTAGTTTAGTGAGGTCACCCTAGTTCAGCTTTGGGTTAGTGCTTTATACGTTCTGTGTTTGTGACGGCTTAGGCAGAGGGAAATGTATCACAGGAATCCTTAATCATCAATTCCCACGTGTCCTCTCTGAAATATGAATTTAGGTTGTGTGTGTGTGTGTGTGTGTGTGTCTGTGTGTGTGTGTGTGTGTGTGTGTGTAGGTGTGTGTATGTGTGCGTGTGTTTGTGTGTGCTGGCCTGAATAAAATAAGCTACCAAGAAGCTTCATCAGACACCTGAGTGCCAGAGCTTTTGTATGACCTACTTCCTGAGTGGGCAGCAATTATGAGCCACTCGTTCAGTCACTATCGTCATTCTCTGTTTATGCTGCTCAGTGTTTTCGTATTGATGTGATTAGCCAAGAAGTAAAATCAACGAGTGCCGCCTTTACCTTGACCCATTGTTTCGAGCCATGCTAGCGACCGGTGTATTGCATTGTGGTTCATGTTCTCCTCAGCATGACATTGGTGACCACGGTGACTATTTCGACTTGTTCAAGGCTTTCGGTTTATGTGCAAATACTTGCAAAAACAATGACATTCCTATTACAGTCTACTTATACACTCCTATTAACCGCGTCCCTTCTTAAAAACAGTTATGATTTTATAACAGAACAATTGATAATTAACTATCTTTATAAAGGCAAAACACCACGGCACATTAATTGTTTACTTGTGCAATAGACATTTGAGAAATATCTCTTTGAATACTTGAGTATTTTATATCAGTGTATAGTGTTTATGCAACTATTTTAAAGTATTTTGTCAAATTTGTTGGCATATGTTTTTATATTTATTTTTGATTTGACTTTTAATGGTGCCAGTTTTCCAAAATGTAAACGAATATAGAGTAACAAACGGGGCTTAAATTGGAGCCCAGCATCACTCACTGAATGCATAGCAACATTATGCTTAGCATTACAAAGCATTGCATTACAGATATAACTGAGGCTCAGAATGGAGACTCTGAAATGCCCCAATCTAATTTAGGCATTCCTGGATAATTAGATAAACCTTAAAAGATTGCAACATTTCAGTCATATTGTCTTTATCTCTTCCTCACAGGGGCGTCCTATAACTCCTGACAGAGAAAAGGAGCCTTCAATGCCATAGCTACCGCTCCTCTCCTCTCCTCCTCCAGTCCACGTTCCCCCCCTTTTTTAACCCCTCTTATCACCTGTTGAGTGTTTGTTTTCCACTTTCTATCCCTCCACATCCTCCATCATCTGTCACCATGACAACCTCAGCCCTGCGCCGGCAGGTGAAGAATATTGTGCACAACTATTCAGAAGCGGAGATCAAGGTATTACAAAATGAACTACACTCTCCTCAACTGTCATTGATGTGCAGTAGCTTTTAGAACTCCTTCAAATTAAAACTGATGTTGAATTTGATCAGATGAAAACACAGAACAAAAGTCTCTCCTGCCTCTTCTTGACTTGGAACGTTTGTGTTATTAAAGGAAGTGCTTTGACACTTGTAATCTCTCACTTTTCTATAATACCGGATGAAAAAGAATATTGTGTGCATGAAATCTAAATATGTGAACGAATGGACAACATTGTTGCTCTGCTGGTGATGTGTAGGTCCGTGAGGCCACCTCGAATGACCCATGGGGCCCGTCCTCGTCTCTCATGTCAGAGATCGCTGACTTGACCTTCAACGTGGTGGCGTTTGCTGAGGTCATGGGCATGGTGTGGAAACGCCTCAATGACAGTGGCAAGAACTGGAGACACGTCTACAAGGTGACCTGACGAAGGACACGTGTTTCTGTCAGACTGCTAGGTTTAGTTATAAATGCTCTCTTTTTGTGCTTCCGTCCCTTCACCTTTCCCGCTCTTTCAAAATTCATTCCACTTTCTTCTCTCCATCCACATACACAGTTCACCTCCACACTTCCGTTCCATATGTTTGTGTAAAGATTTGTCTGATACCAATGTCTGTTTTTAGAGTTCTTGTTGACAACTGTTTGATGGATTTCCAGGAAATGTGCAGACATTCGTGGTCCCCAGAGGAGGAATCCTAATGACTTTGTAGTTCTTTATTGATAAATCTCAACAACTATTTGATTTTTTGTTGTGAAATTTGGTACATAATTAGTTAATACAATTAATGATCCCCAGAAGATGTATCATAAGGGTGTCTTTTATAGCTGGCACCCCATGTACCAAGGCTGAGTCCCCCCCAAAAAATTTTTTCTCTCAAGTCTCTTGACATTTCATCTAGCAGCATCATCTGGTCAAAATTACTTTTCTCCAGGTTTATGACTAAATATCTCCAAATGACTCTTCCTCAGTTGTATTTGTGTTTATTGCTGATGTGCATGTTAGCATTTAGTACAAGTACAGCCTCACAGAGCATGGCTATAGACTCTTGTTACACCATTCTCTCCTGCATCCATCTCATTGTACATATACAGTAGTTCTGTTTAACAATATTTTACAACTAAAATGTATAGAGTAGGGATGTAAGAAAATAGTATTTCTGTAGTATCAGTGCGGTAATCAGCATTTGTCTCCAGGCCCTGACTCTGTTGGATTACCTGCTGAAGACAGGATCAGAGAGAGTGGCCCAACAGTGCCGTGAGAATGCGTTCACTATTCAGGTACTGGACTACAACAAGAGGAGAATAGACACTACATACATTTTTTTTTAAAAATCCCACAACATGCAAGACTTACATTCAAACATTGACTAGACCAGTCAAGGTTAAAATATTATTTAGATCAATTTCTGTAATTTCATTACTCAGATTATTGAGGTTTCTTCTTAACCATAACCTTTCACTAGTTCTCCATTATTTTAAGTATTTTAAGTCCATGTTGATCTCTGAAAGATCATGGAAATGTTTTGTGTGGTTCAGACACTACGTGACTTCCAATATGTGGACCGTGACGGCAGAGACCAGGGGGCCAACGTGAGAGAAAAAGCACGCCAACTGGTGTGTCTCCTCCGGGACGAGGAACGGCTCCGCCAGGAAAGGGGTCAAGCCCTAAAGACCAAGGAGCGAATGGCTGGAGGAGGCAGTGGAGGAGGCAGTGGAGGAGGGGGTGGGGGGGGGGGGTGGGGGTGTGTATGGAGGTATACCCCCTTCTTACCACCCAGGCAGGCGAACAAGCCAGCCCAGCATGGCTGTGCTCTATGGGGAGGAGTTCAGCCGCTCCAGAGGCTCTCCGTCCTCCTTTAACTGTGAGTATTGTGGGTATTTAAAACAGATTTTATTTGGCCGCTTAGGGGCAGAGGAAACAAGCTGTGAAAACAACATTAGCAAATCATCACCTTTAAAGTTGATGTGGCAAACTTGCTGGCAACCATAATGGGGTCTTTACTGCCCTTCTGATCGATGTCATAGTGTGTGTTTTTCCCCTCAACGGCCACAAGTGGCAACAATGAGCCCCTTCTACACTCAAAAACAAACTTTGGCAAGCCACACAAAGGTGAGATGCTTCATGTGAAGTGTTCTCAAACTGTATTTTGTTTGTAGTTTTACAAGAGACAAAGACTTTAAGGATGAAGACTGATTTGCTTGGGCAAATGTGCATCTGGTTAACCACTCCACCTCCATTAAAGAGCAGCGCACGGCCTCTTCCCTGAGGGTTTGGGAGACAGTCCCGGGCCAGGGTTTTTAGAGCCTTTTCACTGAGAACAGCTGCCTGCTGACAACGACACTATGAGAGTGGTTAGAGTGAACCAAAACAGTAAAGTTGCAGACAGGGCAGCTAAACAATGAGCTAAAACTCATTACACTACATCCTTTGTCACATTGCTTTCACATTGTCATCTGATACATTGTTATTATAAATTTATGGATTATTTTATGTGTTGGCAATCTGTGAATGAATGGATGAGGCGTTAAAAATACACACTTGTATTCGAGCTGATCCCTTGTGAAAACTATTTTGTGCTGTAGCCCAGCACTTTAAACATTCCCCCACATGGATTATCAATAATGCAGCGTAGGCCTGAAAATATTCAAATCAGCCCCACAACTCCTGTGCTCCATGTCTCATGCATCCCCACGTCAATCTGACCATTTCTCCTGACGCACCGCCATTGCCTCCTCCCTCAAACTCCCTCACTTGTTCCCTCTGCAGCCTCGTCCTCGTCTCCTCGCGCCGCCTCAGACCTGGAGCAAGCGCGACCACAGACCAGTGGTGAGGAGGAGCTGCAGCTCCAGCTGGCCTTAGCCATGAGCAGGGAGGAGAGTCAGAAGGTAACACAACACACACGCACACACACACACACACACACACACACACACACACACACACACACACACACACACATATTATGATAATATATAATCTCCTTTGGTGTGACAGCATACCATCCTTCCTCTGTACTCGAGCCACACATGTCTCATTGCCTCTTGATGATTCCAATAATTCAAATTTTGTACAAAAAATCTGAACATTCGCCCACCTTCATCTAGCTAGCCCTTCATTTCCCCTGTTACCATAGAGATGGCTGAAGACACACAACTACAGATTGCCTTAAGCCTCAGCCAAAAGGAACATGAGCAGGTACAAATACACACACACAAAAACACAAAAACACACCTCACTCCATACCATTAAGTATCTACATTTATTAACCCTGTAGTTTCTTTCTGTGCATTTGATGATATGGCTCTTACATCTTGAAATGCTTCTCTGTGGCCATGTAATGACTTTCTTCCCAACTTTTTCCGTGCTCATCCAGCTCACTCTTTTCAATGGCTCTCAGTCTGTTCAGATTTGGTTTAAATGTTTAAATTTCGACATATAAAACATGATCTGCATCCTTTTTCTCTGCTTGATCCAGCCTCTGCATTTGTCAACTAAATATTTCAACGGCACAAAAAAGGCGCCAGTGCCGCCTTCATTTCGCTGGGCCAAAACCAAAGACTGTTTCATTTACGCTGGTGTGTATGTGAGTGTGCTTGTACGTGCGTCCGTGCTCATTTCCTTTGCGATAATGTTGATGATGTCACGATTGCCACCCCTGCAGGAGCAGTGCTGTCGTCAAGGAGACGAGTCTCTGTTACAGAAGGCCCTAGATGAGAGCAGGAGAGAGAGCCAGTCAGGGACACAGGAGGTGAGTTTAAAAACGTGTGTGTGTGTGTGCGATGTACAGTACGTGTGTGGGTGCAGGCATGCTACATGAGTGTGTGTTTGCATGGAAGAGGTGGTTGGGTGCATTTGTAGGTGGTTGCTGGCAGACATTTAGAGAATGAAGTGGAGTTTATAGTGCGGACTGTGGGCTAGGGAGGGAAACAGACAAAAAGACATGGATCAGCATAATGAGAGAGGTTTGCGAGAGAAATGCTAGAGAGCTGAGAGAGAGGAGAAAGAGGTGCCTGCTGAATGATAATGACTTTGTCTTGTCTAACCTTGAGCTCAGCATGCCATTTCCCTGAAAGCATACTCCTTATCTTGTAGCACACCAGCTCCTTTACTCATTGGCCTGTCAAAGAGCCTATCAGTCACCAGCTGTCTTATGTAAAGGTCCCCATGGCTTGTAATTGGTTATATTATGTTGCTTATCACAGAACTCCTGACGCTTTCAGGTGCTCTGTAGAAAAAAAGCATGGAAATATAGACCAGAGCCTCTCAATGGTTCTCTGACGTAAGTCCTGACATATTCACAAGGTCAAATGCGCGTCACAGATTATCATGACTTGTAGGATCATCACACGTTCAAAAAAAACATTTTATTTCTGGCCTTTTATCTGATGCTTTGATTTAGTGCAATTTAAAATGTGTGTAGCAAGGTTCTTAAAGATCCCCTTCAGGCATGGTTTAACACATGAAAGTAAAAAAATAAAATACATTTTTTAATTACAGTTTTGTGTTGTTACTGCTACCACTACCTAATCATTGAAAAATCCTGAATCTATGAATGAGCAAACATTCTTTGTTTCAAAAGTTTAATTACTTGGTGCAAGATTGTTAGTCTATGTGCATGGGAGGCTTCAAGTTTCCACATCAACCTTTGTTTAAGTTGCATACTGGACCCTGATTTGCCTCCAAACTGAAGGTGTGATGTTTCAAAATCATGTTGGTATGCATATGTGATAAAGTCAGAATTAAGGTGAGCCCAGAGTAATTTCGCCCCTCAGCAGATCAACATGAAAACAAACTCTGCACACACATCGTTCTGCACAGTGAAGGTCAAACCTCACCCCATAACAAAAACACATTTTCAGTGAAGGTGACTTAAAACTGCTAACATTAAAGGAAATATTGAATAAAATAAGCAGATTATTTACAGTAAAATGAACATTTCAGACAAACTTTCAGGTTTCACATGTAAACAACTAATATGAACATATTTGAAATGTCAAAGTTATACCTGTATTTTTATTACCTTTTTATTTTCCTTTTTAACCTATGTGAAGTGTCTTTGAGTTTCTTGAAAAGTGCTCTATAAATTAAATGTATTATTAAATTAATAATAAATAAATTATTATTATTATTATTATTATTATTATACATGCCATAATTTCACATGGGGTCAGTTGATGTTAAACTGATTTTCTGAACATGAGTGAGGAGCCCAGGGTAGAGAGAGATGATGCTGTTTGTGGTGATATGTAGCTGTTAAATGGAATATAAAGAATAATTGTCTCTGTCTAAATATAGAGTTGACTTATACACATTGTTATAATAATGATATTGACATGGGACGTGAAGTGTGGAAAATGTTTCAATTAACAATAGTGAAAAATATTTTCCTGTGTATTTATTTATGTGCTAACATGAAATAAATTTCATTATTACATGTTCTTACTGTAAATGACGAGCAATGCACATTTCAAAACACGCACCTAACGTGGCATCATGTCTGTTGTTCTATATTTTGTTGAAAGGGTTTCATGATCAATAATGCTCTCACATGATAATGTCAACCTCACATGTGTTAACATAAGATATTTTATCTGTATTGTAAGAAACAGTACACAAATAGTTGTTGCACTACTGTCTACTCTGCTGAGAGACGCTGCTGCAGAATAATCTAAACAGTGCAGATGCAGAAGAGTCCAGATGCAGCCTGACAAACTGTTCCTGAATTACCTCAAGCACTTTTCACTGCATTATGTTGTGCAATCCCACTGCACCTCATAACAATACAGACATTAGCAACATCCAGTTTTTGTTTCTGATCTGATTTCTGATCTGATTTATATCAATCAGAATCTACAATAACGGACCAGTGAATAATTATAGAACTCACAAAGAGAGAAAAATGGTGCTGCTGTTATAAATGTGTGTTTTCAGTAGGGTGGCAGTCAAATATAAGCAGTTGTGCATACTTTTTCCAGGTGAATGAATGAAGACAACACTGTATCTGCAAAACATCAACTTTTCATGAGTTTCCATCTTTGTGACAATACCTTTTTGGTTTATTTAGCTTAAGAAGTATGAGAATGTTCTCAGCCCAAAAGAATAAAAATGAGCAAAGTAGCAAAGACACATGGCTTTCATTGTACACAGTGACAGACTTATTATAGTTTCGTATGTTTCATTAGTTTTTATTCATATTGTTATATTTTTGTTTTCAATTCAGTTTAGACATCCTCAGTAAACATTAAGCACCAATGCTTGAGTTGACAAATTTGACCAAATTGACAAAGACTAAAACTAAAGACATTTCCTGTACATTTTTATGTTATATGAGTTTATTTATATGTACACAGTACACAAGTACACAATATCATTTCAGTTTGTTTTAGTTTTTTCCAGAGTCTAGTTTGTATTTTTATTGTGGTTAACTAAAATGTTTCTTCACACCTAGTTTGTACGTTTTAGTTGAGTTTGAGAACTATAATAATCTTGTACAGTGATAGGGTTTAAAACATCAGGGAAACATTTCAGCAGAGCTTCCTCTTTACACCACTAATTATGTGTCAACTACTTCAGTTAACCAAGCTCTGTCAAGCTGAGTGTGTAAATAGTGTTACAAAGTAACTGTCACATATAATCACAGTAATTGTATCATTCCTCATACTCTCCTCCACAGATCTCAACAGGGTTGGATAGGTTTTCTTATTAAGAGTCTTACATGGTTCAAAACCCCATCCAATTACACATTGTTGAAAACATTTGCCACAGATTTACAGAAAGGTTGTTTGCTCCCTCTGTAGTCAGCCATGCTGGACCTGGTGGACATATTTGGCCCCTCATCGGAGGCCCCACCTCCGCCTAGTGACCCTTGGAACTCTACCCAAGCAACCGGTGACATCACCTCTGACCCCTGGGAATCTGTAGGTGGGTGGCTCATAACAAACATACAAAGACTAATATGGTTCTATACCTACTCTACCATCTCAGTTTTTTCTCAGATTCTAGGAGTTTTTGTGTCTTTAATGCTTCACATGTCTCTCTTCACAGCAGTCCACTGCAGCACTCCTGTGATTGGTAGCCCTTGGACGGCCCCACCCTCGTCCTCCGCCACATCCAATCCTTGGGCTCCATGCGCCAACTCACACACAGACCCCTGGGAAGCAGCACCTATCTCCTCCAGTCCTGTCAACCACTCGTGGGACAGCCCAACAGACGGAGGTACCTTTCAGAAACACCAGCCTCATCAATATGCATATACATCGTAGTTTTCAATGTAAGATTGTCCTGTTTTCAATTTGACATGCAGATGGAGATGGGGTGGATCCGTTTGCTGCACAGGAAGAGGAGAAGCCTCAAGATGAGGTTCCTCAAGTGTCCTCCCCTCAACGTGCTAGTCCCACAGGTAGTGTTAGTGCAGGACAGGCAGAAGCATTTTTTACTGTACATCTTACAGAAGCAATAAGTCTCATGCATTGACAGCTGGAAAGAATAATATCTTGTTCCAACATGATTGGCAAGATAACTCATTGTATATATACAAAACAGTACAGTTTACAACTATTGTAATGGATTGCATTGTAATGTAGAGGGAGGGGTCCTTGTAGTGGATCCACTTGTTACCAATTATTTCATACAGGTGGGGGACAAATTCAAGAAATAACTTTAATAAATCAATGAAGAAGCATAACAAATTAATATCTTTCTTGTAGAGCACGAGGGGTCGCTAAATGATATAAAATGATGTGAACCATACTGTAGGCTAAAGCCTTAACAGGCACCAGATTTCAGATTTGGATATTAGACAGCGCTCTGCACCACCAGGCCCCCTCAGAGACTTTGAGAATCTAAGACAAAGGGCAATGAAGTTGTTCTGGAGTAAGCTAAGTCATTGTGGACAAGACACTTAATGTTTGGATGTCCTTTATTGTCACCCATGCAGCACACATCATATTGCATCATATCCCCTCGATAACTATTCTTCTTGTCCTGATTCAGATGTAGAGCTGTTTGGCATTAAAGCAGACTCTGACCCATTTGCTGAAGCGGATTCCAAGCCAGATCCGTTTGGGACTGACCCTCCGGTGAAACCCCAGGTAAACGGACGTGAGTCGGCAAGCCCAGAGATGTTTGACCTGTCGCGGCTAGCACCCCCGCTCAGTGCCCCACCTACTCGTGTGTGTCGAACCCCAGAGACCTTCCTGGGACCTACAGGGGCCTCGCTGGTCAATTTAGATGCACTGATACCCTCCAACCCCCCTAGTAAGACGCACAACAACCCCTTCCTCTCAGGTAAGAAAGAAGTGTTCTCACATTCTGTACTCACAGAAACATGATTGTGAGATTATTAAAAGGTTTTCCACCCAATTCTTTCTTCCCAGGTCTGAGTGCTCCGTCTCCCACAAACCCCTTCCACTGCGACCAGCCTCGCCTCACCCTCAACCAAATGCGGCCATCCTCTACATCCCCACTACCCCCGCACATGCTCTCCTACAGCCCGTCGCTGCCCCTCCCTCTGCACCACCAGCCAACCATCCTCCCCTCCTCTCTCACGCAACCTCCTGCCGGACTCCTGGACCTTCCCTCAAACCTCCCACAGCCCCTGCTCCCCCTTTCTCCACGACCAGCACCCCGCACTCAGTCCCAGACACAGACACACAGCCACAACCCCTTCCTCTGAGACACCTGCGTCTTTCAAGCTCTGGTCTGCAGAGGAAGCCGACAGAATGGACTCTTTTTGGATTCATCTATGCTGTCTACAATGAGACTAGTTTAAAATGAGCCTGAACTGGACTGCGGATCCTGGTCTGATGTCATTGTGCACACTTGAAGCGGATTAATCTTGGACTGGATGTATGCGTGTCTGTCTAAAGACACATCAGCTGCTATATAACCTGAACTCTTGAAGAAAAATTCTCACACACACACACACACACACGCACTCAGGCGCACTTAAGGCTGCACAGACACAAACATGCACACACCACCAAACTAACAGGGTGTATCTCAACAGTCCCTTCGATGCCTTTTCCCCATCAACATTGACAACTCTGAGCATCCTTTGACCACTAGGGATTTCACAAGAACCAATAATTCGTTACCAAGTCAATGCCAAAATTCGGAAAACTTGACGGTACTTGTTTCTAAACAGTGCTGTAGGTGACGGAAATTACATTCTTCCGGACCTGAAGGGGCAATATATAAGCCTACAAATATTCTTGTCTGACATTAAATGCCATTGGAAGAAATGCAGGTGTACAGGTGATTTTACTTTTACGGCTGTTGCAACTGTCTTCGCTGCCTGTCTCTTCTCCACTCCACTGAACTGTGTGTGCAGGAGGCGAGACAGATAGCGGTGGAGAGCCGCACACTCAATATGCCACTGCAAGTGCAACAAAAGCTCCTTTAAAAAAAAACCAATAAGGGCAATTTCTTAATGTAATCCCCACAAAAGACAAAAAATAACAAATGAATAAGGAAGAGAGAAATTCCCTAAAGGGCCAAGACCAAAAAAGACTATGGAGAGAGATTGTTAGGCGATTTTATAGCCTACTTTGGCTATAAATAAATTATAAACAATGAGGAACAGCTTGGATGCAGGCATGTTTTTCTTAATACAATGCAAAGCTATTCACCTGTATTATTAATAAAGTATTGTAATTTGTAGAATTTCCCTGGTATTGGATTGAGTACTACATTTTTGGTTTTGTGACATCCCTATGGCCCACAGAGACCTTAGAACGTTGGTATGAAGTCACATACTTTGATTGTTCACCATGATTCACAAGGATCCTTACCGCTGCTGCTTCACCGACGAAAGCATGAATGCATCCCACCCCCCGAGACTCCAAACTATCCTATTCTGCTGAGCACCTGAGATGAGTTCTTCAAATAAATCCTGTTTTTCTGATGAGTCAAATAGTATCTTGAGCTTTATTGGCACAATTGAATCATTTTAGAAGGCCCCAAAAGTGTGTTACTGTGAGATTCAAGACAGCATTCAGCACTGTTCAAGAACTAATTGACTCAGGTATTCCTTCCTACATAAACATAATCTAGTTTGCATTGCCTTGTTACCTTGTAATCCCAATAGCATCTGGTCCTAAGTTAGTTATTTGTCCTTGAAGGCAAGTAGCCCCAACAGGAATCAGGTGGATTCAAAACTGGACTAAACCAGCCTAAGCTAGACTTTACTGTCTCAATCTGGACCTAAACTGATCACTGATTGTACCCTATTGGACCCGCGTGCCTGTCTTTACAGCTGACTCACAGTGCATTCCCGGCTGGTTGATATTGGCGCCATTAAGGAGGACCTCAGGGAGACCGCTCTGTCCCTCCTCCATTGAGATTCAACCTTAGTGAGTGGAAAGGCATTTGTCTACAAATAAAAAGAAATGACAGGGGAGATCAATGACTTTATTTCAGATGTGAGTATGAAAATGAGATGATGAACAGATAAAGGAGGAGTAGAGGAAAGCTGACGAGAAATAAAGTAAAATGATTACAGATGATAAACTGATGTATTGAGCAGTTGCTGCTCTCCTCGGCTCCTCGTTCACTTCTGTGTTAGGAACAAAAGAGTGGGACGAGACGACATGTTTGGTCATCACTGCACTGAACCTGGACCTGAATGTGAAATGCCTGCCTATAGATACACACAGGCTTAGTACATAATGTATTTAACAGAATGATACCTATAAAGTATTATGACATATTATACCAATAAATGAATGGTGTTTGCATTATAATTTCTGATGTGTTCATATGATTGATTGATGTACACTTACACAGCACACATTGGCCACTGTTCAACAAAACTTTATACATAAATACTTTCAGGCCTCGTCAGATTGTTCAACACGCAGAATTTCTTTTTATCTCTTTTCGTGTACACAAGCGAGCATGAATGGCTGCGACGAGTGTGTGCCATTATCCCCCATTTAACTGGTACAGCCAACTTAATTTTTCTGGATTTTTTTAAAACATGTTAAAATATATTGGAAACTAAAAATGATGAGGATTAGTATGTTAACAATACAGAGCATATTTTGTGACATTGTGCCTCCCACACCAAAACCAGAGCAGACTCCTTTGATATGTGGGAATTGATGACACACAATTAGCCAATCTGGTTATCCATGTCTCAGATTCTCACGCAGCGATGTGAACAAATAAACTGCGTGGGTCACAAAGTAAGCGACAGCCAGCAGCTTTAATTCATGGTATACCAGTAAACTTCAGCCCTATGTAAACTGTGAACAATGAAGAGTAGGCATGAGTAGATTTGGATGTCTGAAATAAATGACAAAGAAATCTCCCTCCTCTTTGGTGCCCCTCCAGCTGGTAGTGTCCTAGGCTACATCCTAGCTCACCTGTGCCTAAAAACAGCCTTGCAATAAGCTATATGTTTTGATCACAAGTTATATTATATCCAGTGTTTCTCCACTTTCTTGGAGCTAAACAATGAACTGAAACTCGCTGTGGAAAGGAGCTGCAGATTTAGCCGTTCATCTCTACAAGCGGCCCCTTTCACATTGTCATTTTATATTGTTATTATTAAAATATTGATTATAGCCACTTTATATATATTTTCCTAGGGATGTAGGTATAGTAGTAGTTATGTCAACATCTCTGTGAGTTTATTGAGTTCTAGTGCCAATGCCTTAGTTATATATGCAACAATAATGTAATATTTCAAGTTCAAATATCTTCATTTGGGTGATTTTCCAAACAATTATTAATATATGTGATTGGCATATATTTGCCATCCCTAAAAGTCTCCATGCCACCCTCTGGCCACCCCTTGAATATTTCTCCAGTCCCCCCCCCCCCCCCCCGGCTAGAGCACCCTTCTTTCTTTTACCTCACACTACCAAAGGAGTTGAATACACAGACATTGCAAAATGTTCCGATTGCCCACCACCATTGTTCAAGAAAGCTGCGCACAAACACACACAGGCATTAACATATGAGACAGGAACCAAGGCAAAAGTTCTATTGTACACTGTATGCTGCTGCTAAAGATGAAGTTGATATGAGCAGTTTTTCCTCATTGACCACAAGATGGTAGTATTGACACAGTGTGCGACAGGGTTTGCACCGTGCAGGTTTTCTTTCCAGCTATTTAGCTCGAGTTTTACACCTGGGATTCAAAATGTATATGGTGACATGTCTGTTAGTGATGAACCAGCAGTCAGCACACTTTAGATTTCAAGAAGCAGCACTGTAAACAACAGCTGTACCACAGTGATTATTGTGGCGTGGCACTGATAGCCATGTGTGAGCTTTTTTGTTAATCCAGCACTGCACTTACACAACAGCAGCTATTCTCTAAGGAAATGAAACTGGTGAACTGTAAATATCTTTTTTCTAGAAAGGGAAGAAACAAAATCTAATTTGAGGTACTTGTATTTACTTAAGTATTTCCATTTCATGCAATTTTATAATTCTTCTTCACTATATTGACTTTTGATACTTTTACTTTTACTTGTAGTGAGTATTTTCTCAGTGGTGTTTTATTTATAATTTTTTTAACTTAAGTAAAGGATATGAATAGTTATTTTACAACTGACTTTCATATCTGGCATTTCTTACACAGCTCCTCACACTGCTCCTAAGACATTTATTTAATCTGTAGTAGTATATCAAACTAATGTTTCGTCCGTGTCACCATGGCAACTGGGCTTTCAGTTTTCCAGATTCCTTGCCATGGACTAGAGTCTTGCTGAAGGGGAAATGTAACGGCAGCATGGCCAGTTGTTGGAGATTTCTTGCCCTTTACAAAGTATTGAAATGAAAGAAAGACTGATACTTCCATCCTTAGGCCCTGCTGTGGCCCCTGTCAACATATGGCCATCCTCAGCTGTCAACATGCTGTGTGTCTTCAATCTGTGTGTGTGTCTGATGTGTACCTGGACAAGATAAATTAAAACCACCACAAACTCTCACAAAAGGTCAAATGCGCGATTCTCAAAGCGAAACTAAATGAATGAAGGAAATCCAATCATGCCCATACCTCCAGATACACTCACACACTTCCCGTCTCTTTGATGTCTGGCATTTCTGTCCAAACAAAATCAACTGCAGTCTTCTGATCAGAGATTGAAACAGCTGCAGTCCCGACCTCCAGATACAGTAACTCAACTTGTGCGCGCATTTGAAATGCAACATCACCATGTGGTGTTGATTTGGTGGAGGAAGGTACGTAAACAGGCGGCAGTGATTGGTTGTGAGAACATTTGTGAGAGTGAATGCAGAGTAATCTCTATTGCAAAAGTTTATCTGAGGTCCATGTGGACCTGCAGTGCAAGGAATTGGACAAACTTCACAGCCCCAGTCAGAACAGACTCACAAGGACTCATTACCTTAACCTGAATCTCTAAGATTGAATCTCCTGAATATCGTTTAGTTAATCATACTGCAACTATCAATCTCTATTGGTCAGAAATTTATATCTGGTTTGCTTCACAAAAAACTCCTGTAAAGATACATGGATGGTTTCTCTGGACTCCCACTGAGTTTTAAAAGACGGTAACACAAACATTTAACAATGTATTTGTTAGCTATTTCCATAAGAGTACACACAGTCTGTCTCATAACTATTCTGTTTAGCAGGTGTGTGTGCGCTGTTACAGTTGGGCCAGATTCTCTCTTGATCCCATTTATCAAGCGCTCAAGCATGAGAGAATAATCCCTGATCTTGGCCCTGGTCTGTCGACACCCCCTGGAGCTGTTGTTCCTGGGCTGCAGTGAGGCATTCGTCCAATTTAAAGATGCATTCAAAGTGATAAATTAAGCTTAGTCTGATCGAGATGCTGCTGCAATGTGGGAACAATTATTCTGCAGCACAATCTCTAAGCTACATCCTGTCTGAGTGGTGCCCTGATTAAGCAGGATTGTGTGTAAAATCCAGGATCTCATTAAAAAATATCTCGGGACTTTAGCCAGAAGAGAGAGAGTTTATGTGTTTCTAAAGTGGGTAACATAGAAGTTAAGCAGCTTAAGTCCCTCCAGGATTTTGTCTTTTTTGTTGCTCATGATTGGTTTTATCGGGACACAAACAAGAAAATAAAAAATAAGGATTAAACTTAATAATAGGGGTGGTTGGCCTTCTGTACTCTGGAAGTACTGCAGATCTAATGGGTAACAGAGTTTGGATATTTCATAATCCAGGACTGTTGTTTGTTTCCTGACATCATGGCCTGAACTGCTGGATCATCCCTGCTTCAGCCGAGTGCCGTGATATTTATTCATTGTGTAGTTACAGTAAGTACATTGTAAAAACATCTTAATGACTCAGAATGACTCACACATACTGATACAACACCTGGAGCTGGTAGAGTAGTACAACAACTGCAGTGAACGCCACACACACACTATATATCGCTCTCATTACTCACTTACTTTCCTTTCTGAGGGAAAATGAAAACGATGGTCAAAAACAATATTTCTGCCCATCCTGTTTTTCTGTCTGCTCACCAAGACAAACCTCCCATGATGCAGCTGCCAACATTAACATAAAAAACACACTGCTCTGCTTCCCTGTTGAACACCACAGGAAAGCTAGAGAGAGCTGCGCCATGTCTAATGTCATCAAGTCCCACCAAACAAAACATGAAAAGACAGAAAAACAGAACTCTTTACTTCAGTGGATATTTGTTTTAAAAATCCCCAAATTATCTGAAATAATAGCAAAGCAAACACCCACTGATGAAGGCCATGTGATGTGGCTGAAAGCTCTGAAAAAGTCAAAATAATGAATACTGACAAGCAAAATACAAATGATAGGATACATAATGGTGACATAAGGTTACAGGGACACGTTCACGAAACTCCAGACAAAATACAAATATATTTTAAACAATATAGAAATCTTAATTGAGTGTTAATACTAATTTGTCAGGTTTAAGATGGGAGCACTTCTATTATAAGATTATAAAAGCCAGAACAGGTTTTTTCCACCGCCCACAGAAATGAGTCTATTTTACACACGTTAGGGACGTCAGTCGTCCAGATGATTGACGGTGAGTTTGTGAGTTTCAGCCAATCCGAGGTCTGTCCGTGTTTTGCAGGAGCCAATGAGCGTCCGGGATTCATTGTTTGCGGAAGTCGTGAAGCGGTTAACCACGCAGCAAGTTATGACCTCGCGTTTTGACTAAATGGTTCATTTTATCGTCACTAAAATGTACGGAACACATTTCAAGAGATGCCATTTGTTGACGTGGATCTATTTTATATAGAGAACATTTTTTTTAAAAAAAAGTAGTTTTTACGGACATTCGTATGAACGTGTAGCACGCGGGGGTCACCGGCTCTTGTAGACGTTCATACGGTTCATCTTCACTGCTTTCAGACATAATTTAACATATTGAATCCACTAAACCGAGGACAGACGTCGGTTAACGGCGGTGTGGCTGCGCAGATAAGTAGCGGAAGGACGGAGGCTGAGAGGTTGACATGAACCCACCGAAGCGACTCTGCACCACAGAAAATGAAAGGAAGGAAGGATGGCAGGAGGAGGAGGAAGAGGAGGAGGAGG